CGACTCCCGTCGGGCCACGCGCGCTCCTGGGAGCACGAGACTGAGAGGGCAGGGGAGGGGTGGGAATCCCGCGGGTAGAGCGCGCGTGCGCGACGAGGGGGCGGGGCCGGGAGGAGAGCCAAATCCCGTCCTCCTTGCGTGCGGGCTCAGCCTGGGACTCTGGGCACTGGGAGAAGGAGGGCATCGCCCAACCTCAGTTTCCCCTGCTGCAGAAGCCGAGGCCGGAGGGCTGTCCCTTCCCTGGCCGTGTGTGCCCCCGACTCTCCCTTCCCGGGGGCCCCACGGGGGAGCGTTCCCGGAGTGTCAGCCACTAAATATAACACTGAGCACATCTTTTAATACTGCCCCTCCTCCCAAACCTGCGGCGCTCTGCACTCCCCGAAAATAAACCCGACCTGGCCCGGCTGGGGCCGCGCCGGACCCCCGCTGTGGCGCGCTGGAGCAGCTCCGCCCCCTCCTCGGTTAACTTGCGTGCCCCGGCCTTTTGTCCCAACACCTCCAGGTTGCGGACCACATCGGGCTCTGGGAAGAATCCAGTGGGTGGTGACCCGCATTTTATGAAAACGAAATAGGGTAAGAGAAAAAATCAGAGTACATCTTCCATAGCAAGAACAAATACTGTTTTGTGAAGCATTTATTTCCCTTAGTCACATTAAGTGTGGACTTGGTCAGGACGGAAAATGTATTTTTTACTGTGCTGAGAACTACTTACCTGCCATGTAAGGTAGGTGCTGTGACTCCCCATTTTGCAGAGGAGGAAGCGGAGGCCCAGCACAGGCGAGCCAAATGGCAGGTAAGTTGCAGGCGGCGCCTGGAGGAGTTCTCAGCGTTCAGTCGGGGCACCTCACTGTCTTCTGCCCTTTGTGATACCCTCCTGGTCCCACAAGTACCTGGCACTGTCCAGCAAAAGAACAGTAATAAGTTTGAGGGGGGGATAAAAACCAGGAAAAAAAAGAGAAGATGGAAAAACCTTCCAATTTTATCTGCTGAGATTTACCTGTACATTCCAGAATTGCTCCTTAGCTCCTGGAAAATTGTGCTCAGGAGGAGAACAGAAATAGCAAAGCTACAGAGTTAGCCCAGCCCGGGAAAGAGAAGTCTTAGAGGACTGGGCATTTGGCCCCTGGGAAGTAGGATCCAGACTCTCAGCTTCTTTCTTAGCACAACCTTCCCCACACAGACATAGCGGGGTGCACCTGCCTGGAGTAGATGCCAGCCAGGTCTCCTGAGCATCTCAGTGACCTTCTGGCCTGGTGATCCCCCTGTGCAACCGAGGTTCTCCTTCCCGCCTCTTTCCAGATCAGGAAATCCAAGGTCACAGATTTTCCACCTCATACCTCCCGGTTTCTGAGCCACAGCCGCGGCGTGTTGAGGGTGGGGGTGTATTCTTCTCTAACATGAGCTGATTCTGTCTCAGAAAAGGAAACTGGATCCTGAGCCCCAGGACCCAAGGCTGGGGGTGCTGGCTGGGTTGCAGTTCCCAGAGACCTCCTCATGCTCGCAGCTGGGTGGTTTCCTGAGGACATTAGCCACAGTGCAAATGCCCAGTCAGGGTAGAAACTAAAAATATACACAGTGCTCAGGACTAGGAATGCAGGCACTGCATTCCTTGGTGTTCTGCCCAAAATGGGGGGAAAGTTTTGAGAAGGGAAGCAGTTGTGTCAGACCTAAACTTGACCTAGGAGTCCACTGCTGTGGTTTGTTTACAGGCCAGAGCAGATCTGTCCAGTACCTCCATGATATATGAATCTTTTTGGGGGGTGGTGGGGGCGCTGGCTGATATGGGGATCCAAACACTTGATCCTGGTGTTATAAGCCGCTGTTCATGTGTGCACAGGTCTGAAAAGTCCACCCACTTGATGATCATCAAGTGGTAGACCAGTGAGCCGAGGAATGTAGAGAAGTGAGCTGGGACTTCTGGGAAACCCTGGGGAGGTTGGACTCCCTGCCTCAGTTTCTCTGTTTGCCAAATGGAGATTATACCTCTACTGCCTATCTTACTGGTGTATGGGAGAACCCTGGAAGATAATGCCTGGGGAGGGCTCCAAGAGTGGCCGGGGGCCCATTTGTGGGTGCCTGGGTGTGCTGAGGATTTATACCTCTACTGCCTATCTTACTGGTGTATGGGAGAACCCTGGAAGATAATGCCTGGGGAAGGCTCCAAGAGTGGCCGGGGGCCCATTTGTGGGTGCCTGGGTGTGCTGAGGATGAAGAGGCAGCTGAAGAGGTTTCCACTGCAACCATAAGCCACTTATTAAGTGCCTACTGTGCATATGAAAATAAAGCAGCCTCTAATAATGACAGGTGTGAAGACATGAGAAGGGATCCCTGTCCCACATTGCATTACAGTTTAGCTGGGGTCACATGGGCCAGTGTCCTGCAGGAGGTGAGGGTGCGCCACCACAGAAAGCCACTCTGACTAATGTGCACCTGAGAAAGAATGACTGGCGAATGATTGGTGTGACAACTGGTGTCACAGGTATCACTGCTTAGTAGGAGCAACACGAAACAGGTGAGTCGATAAAGGAAAAACATCGGCAGGTAGGTAGGTGGTCCATAGATAAAGAAAAACTGGACTCAGTGGTCTGAGTGTGGGACCTGCCACGGAGGCTGGACCTTGCCATTCTCTCCTCTTGTTCAGGATCTGGCACAGGGAGGGGTTCGGGGAGGG